AGGGACACAAACACAATAACCAATAACAGCAAGGTTACTAAGTGTGACACTCCCAATACAAATGATACAATCCCTCTTCTGAATCTGGAAGATAATTGAGTTAAGTGGCTGAAAATATTCACTCTTAATATTTCACAAAAACACTTTAAAATACAAAAGTCATATTTCGTGTAACCAACGCCCCTAGTCTACACATCCCCAGATAGCTTAGATCTGAGCACACAACATATTCGAAAAGTGTTCAGATCCCACAAACATAGTCGAATCGCAAAATAGGGATTTTGTCACAGAGGGTATATCTTAAATGAGCTTGCAAAGACTGCAGAGCTTATGAACTGGGAATTCACAGGGAACTAACCAGAGGATCCTCATTTTTGAAGGCTGTAACGTGGTGCTCATGTGCACGCGCCTTGAGCAGAGGAGCTGATCTGAGGTCTGTGAGGGAGAGGGAGGCAGGCACGGTCAAGTTGAGCGTGCCTGCCACTTCCGTTAGCTAAGCGATACTAATGGAAGTAGGAAGGAATCCTCGCTGGCTGTTTGACAACCAGGGGGGAGTTCCCTAGTCAATTTATAAAAGTGCTGATTTCTCCTAGAAATCAGCACTTTTATAAACTAGGGTTGAACTATGATACTCCACACCCATAAAGCACTTCCGCATCCGCAAGTTTAAAGGAACACTATAGGGTCAGGAACACATGCATTTCTGACACGTGAACAATAAAATCTTATGATAGTGTTTAATCCCATTATTGCTGCTTTGCCAATAAAGGGATATCATTTTTTTCACAATAATCCGTGCTTGACATCTTTTTCTGGAGGGTGCAAACAGAGACAAAAAAAAAAGAATGAAAAAAAAAAAAAGCAGAGCTATCGCTGTCAAGCCCCCAACCATCACTAGTACAGCTGAGAGAAAAAAAAAATCTTTGTCTATGGAGGCTCCTGCATTCTCCCCACAGACATCAATGGTGCACATGCAAGAGGACAGTACTGATGTTGGCTCTTAGTATATGTTCAGGATTCAGTGCCACAACAGAACTTGGATCAAAGTGTATTTAAAGCGTATTATCAGTCCTTACAATGGCTGGTCTGAAGAGAAAGAGAGAATAATTGTAAACAACAGCAACAAAGCCGAGGTCGAGATGACAGAGGTACAGAAAATCAAATAAAACTAGCAAAAAAGTCAGAATTACATGCCAGAAAATCAGAAAAGGACATGCTGATTGGGTAAACAATATGGAAACCACAACGGCGTAATTGTTATAGTGCTGAAAATTTATTTAATTGCTTTGGTGTACTCTGATCCGCGTCACCCTTGCGGCCCCATAGAGTTCAGGAACAAGGTCGTAGGAGATACAGTGGCCGGAAGGGACACGCTAGTTATCCAGATTAGATCCATATTTTGGCCTCTCGATCTGCACGTGGCACGTACTAAAATTCTGGAACTCTGCACTGAAACACTTTCCAGAACAACTCCACAGGCCACAACTCACAGTCAACATACACAGCACACAAAAAAAAAAAAAGCTGGAACTGTGGGTCAGTTAGTAAGTGCCGTGATGGTAACTCCCCTCAAGAAACTCCCACCCGGCAGAACGGGCCTGGTTTGCTAGGAACGGAAATAAAAGGCAAGCACAAGATGAGCTGAGTGGACATCAACAGCGGCACCCAACTACGTACTCCGTACAATGGATAAGATATTGGAGTGAACCTTGGGAAATGTGAGAGTTCACTATAGGTTCCACCCATACATTGGGGATGCGCATCACTTTAGCCAAGTCCAAGGCATAAGAAATTGCTTTAATTCTACATTAGACCTAAAAAAATGACAAATAAACTGAAGGGAAAACTTAATAGAAGGGACTGAGAAATGGATATTAAAGGGGGGGGGAGGGAGAAGCACCCTTTGCCCTCCTGACTTAGGAAAGAGCTGCACAACTGAATTTAAATTGTTTGTCCCTTTTCCTGTGCAGCTAACGTTTTCAATCTGCTCCTAAAGCCTATGTAGTGTAGCCAGAAATTCCTCCACGGCTGGCATTCCCTGAGAAGGGAAAATAGGGGTACTCATGAATACCGTTATGAGTAAATCTCTCTAGGAAGCAGATCAGCAGTCATCTTGTTGGCCGGAAATGAAGCAGCGCAGGTAATGCTCAAGGGACTAGGTAAAAGGACAAAGTAAGAAGAAAAGGACAAAGTAATACCAATCTCCAAAAAGCCATTAACACAAGAGACAAACATGCTGCCGCTAACAGAAACAAGCGCTAGAACAATGGCTGAAACGTTTCGGTTCCAGCCGAGTACATTTTTGTTGTTGTTTTTAGAGTTGTACCAACATGGATGAAGTGGTTTTTCAAAGGACTCTCTGTGACAAAACCACTCTGTGATGGAGCTCCTGTACTTTGACCAAGTACCTCCGACAAGTCTGCTATCGGGGACCCTGGAGCACTGCAGACCATGTCGCCGAAGCTTGACTGGGATCGCTGAGAGTCTTTGTCAGGATAGCCAAATGGAACTGGTCTGTAAGTGTCCCTGGAACAATTCCTTGCTGGGAGAACAATAAAACAAGAAAAGGTGGAAGGGGAAAGGCACGTGTATCCTGGACAATCATCAAATTCAATCCAATACACAGGAACAAATTTTACGGGGAAACATATAGGTACACCTAACAATACAATATAAAACAGACAAAAGATCTTTAGGCAGGAGGATTTTGTTGTAATACAACAAGTGTCTGGGGCCCTTCACCCACAGGGACAACAGCCACTTTTAAGGGCTCCTTGGACCAGGTCGACAGTCTGTGGGCTAGAGGCTAGCCTTTACGCCTCTCCAAGAGGCTGTGGCATGGGAGCTTCTATCACACTCTCTAGCCCTGATCTTAGATGGATCCACATCCATGAGAAATGGGAAGATAAATGTCTGGATGTCTAAGTATAGGGGCAGTGGTAAAAGCCTATTTAAGTGATTGAAACACCCAAATAGCCTCAGAAGGATATTTATAGGTTTTAGCACCTGTTTTGTTAAATTGGTAATAGGTGCAATCACAGAAGGAAAGTTTTAAATAAATCTGCGACAAGTCGTCAAAGCCTATAAATCTTCAAGAGCAGGCCCTGAGGCAATGGCAATTACCATTAAGAGCTCTTTAGGATCCATAAGAAACCCTGAGGAAGAGATTAAAGTATTCTAAAAATTGGATTTAAGTGATCAAATATTAAACTTTTTTTAGGTTGCTATATAGACCATTGCCAAAATTTTGATTTGTTCATGGTGTGCCATGATATGAGGAGGGTAGATCAAGGTATCATCCAGGTACACTATGACACAAAAATTTATGTAATCTCTGGAGGACATAAATTTATATTACCTTCAGACAGAGTGTAGCACAAACTGAAAGGCTTTACAGTTTATTTGCAATGCCCCTTCCTGGTGTTAAATGCTGTAATCCAGTCATGTGTACAAGGTTTTATGCTCCACCAAGGTCAAATTTTGTAAAAACAGTAGAACCTTGCAACCTATTGAATAAATCGGTAGTTAATTGAATAGAGTAAGCATTATGCACTGTAAATTAGTTTTTAACGCTCCTATAATAAAACATTTTAAAAAGTCAAATCACCCTCCTTTCTAGAAACAACAACAACAACAAAAAAAAAAAAAGTCAGCCCAAGCCTGAGAATAAATTCTGTTTAACCCTTTCTCTAGGGATATCAAAAACCTTACCAAAGACAAAAAGTAACTCCTGGTATTTGAAAAACCATTAGACTCCCATGACAAATTAGCACAAGCTAGTGCTTTATCAGTACATTTATAACAAAACCCACTTTATACCGGTCAGTAGGGAACATTCTGGCAGACATTTCAAAAGGAACTCACTGTATTTCTTAGAGTACCTACCATATAGGAGAGCGGTTAGATGGACTAAAGAACCAGTATCACTTGATGGTTCTAGCACAACCAGCATAGTTGGTGGCAGGGGCGGACTGACCACTCGGGCACATTGGTCATGGACCGAGGGCCCGAGACAGTCAGGGGCCCGGCCGCACAGCCATGCTCCAGCTGGAGAGACCAGAGATCTCTCCAACTGGAACGAAAAAATAATAAAATAAAACTATTTAATTGATCGGTTGTGGGGCCCCTGATGGAGCACAGGGCCCCACAACCTACCGCTCTGCAAGTCACCCCCCCTCAAATGAGACTCGGCAGCTTCACCAGCTCTCTGCCAGGTCTCCTTCCTGTCCCATGCGGCTTTGTGTGATGGGAGAGTGACCTCACTTTCTGTTTACTCCTCTTACACAGAGCCCAATCAGCGAGGTGAAGGAGCAGCAGCCTGGGAGACCAGAGGGAGCAGAGAGAAAGGTAGGCACTAATTACTCCCCCTCACCGTGTCACTAGTCACCTCCCTCACTGTGTCACTAGTCACCCCCCTGTGTCACTAGTCACCCCCCCTCGGTCACTAGTCACCCTCACTCTGTCACTAGTCACCTCCTCCCTCCCTCTGTCACTAGTCACTCCCTCCCTAAATCTGTCACTGTCACCCCCTCCCTCTGTCACTGTCACCCCCTCCCTCTGTCACCCTCTCCCTCCGTCACCCCCTCCCTCCCTGTCACTATGTCACCCCCACCCTCCCTCTGTCACTAGTCACCACTTCCTCCCTCTGTCACTAGTCTCCCTCTGTCACTAGTCACGTCCTCCCTCTGTCACTGTGTCACCCTCTCCCTCCCTCTGTCACTAGTCACTCCCTCCCTCCCTCTGTCACTGTGTCACCCCCTATGTCACTAGTCACCCCTTCCCTCCTCACTTTGTCGCTAGTCACCCCTTCCCTCCCTTACTCTGTCACTGGTCATCCCCTCCCTCACTCTGTCACTAGTCACCCACTCACTCTAGTGACAGAGTGAGGGAGGGGGTGATTAGTGACAGAGTGAGGGAGGGAATGGGTGACTAGTGACAGAGTGAAGGAGAGGTGACTAGTGACAGGGGGGGTGACTAGTGAGGGAGGGGGTGACTAGTGAGGGAGGGGGTGACTAGTGACAGAGTGATGGAGGGGGTGACTGGTGACAGAGGGAAGGAGGGGGTGACTAGTGACAGAGTGCGGGAGTGGGTGACTAGTGACAGAGGGAGGGATGGGGTGACTAGTGACAGTCACCACCTCCCTCACTCTGTCACTAGTCACCATCTCTCTCATTCTGTCACTAGTCACCTCCTTCCTCACTAGTCACCCCCCCTCACTCTGTCACTAGTCACCCCCTCCCACTCTCTGTCACTAGTCACACCCTCCCTCACTCTGTCACTAGAGTGAGGGGGTGACTAGTGACAGAGTGAGGGAAGGGGTGACTAGTGGCAGAGTGAGGGAAGGAAGGGGTGACTGGTGACAGAGTGAGCGGATGACTGGTGACAGAGTGAGGGACGGAGGGGGTGACTAGTGACAGAAGGAGGGAGGGAGTAGTGACAGAAGGAGGGAGGGAGTAGTGACAGAGGGAGGTGGTGACTAGTGACAGAGTGAGGGAGGTGATGACTAGTGACAGTCACCACCTCCCTCACTCTGTCACTAGTCACCCCTTCCTTCCCTCACTCTGTCACTAGTCACCCCCTCACTCTAGTGACAGAGTGAGGGATGGGGTGACTAGTGACAGTTAGGGAGGGAAGGGGTGACTAGTGACAGAGTGAGGAAGGGGGTGACTAGTGACAGAGTGAAGGAGGGGGTAACTAGGGACAGAGTGACTAGGGACACATCTTGTGGGTGCCTAAATTTTTAGCCTGATGTTCACAAATATTTTTGTGAGGCGTTTATGATCTGAATCCTTAACCCCTTAAGGATGGAGACAATTGTACAAGTTCTGATCATAGCAAAACCTAGAATTTGAGCAATTTGTCTGTTAAACCATAATTTTCCTCTTTCATATTAAGTGTACCCAGACTTACAATATATCAATTTGTTCAGATAAAAGACAATTTTCATTTCCCATTAAATATTTATGACAATTTAATATGAATAATTATTTTTTTTACATTGTGAGAAATTAAGAAATGTTATTTTCCAAGATCTGCATGGCAGTTTAATTGTGAATGTCATAATACTGCTTTTACTGCAATAGAATAGTGATATGCATATTCTGTGATGTCTCACAAGTACAAAAGTACCTGTGATGGTACTAATCTGACAAATTTCAATTTGAAAAAAACTGAAATGAAATGAAAAATAGAATGTGCTATATTTGACCCTTTAACTTTCCAAAAACACAGAAAAAACTGTTAATGGGGGCTACTGTTGTACTCGTGAGACTTTGCTGAATCCAAATATGTGCTTGTTTTTCAGTAAAAGCTAACAGTGTTATGACCTTTACAGCTAAAATGTGAGGCGGAACTACAATTTTTTTTTTTAACAAATTACATTTCTCACGTTTTTTTTTATTTTATTCATAATAAATTATGTTTCATATATAAATATTTGATATGAAATGAAAGCCCTGTTTCTCCTGAACAAACTGTTATATAATAAGTGTGGGTGCACTTAATATGAAAGAGGTGAATTACGGTTGAACAGACATATAGCGCAAATTCCAGTTTTTGTTTACATTTTGTTTTGATCAGAACGTATACTATTGACTCCGTCCTGAAGGGGTTAAATATGGTTTTCCCCATCCCTTTATAAATATATTATTATTCCCTGTATGTTTTCTGACATGTTTTGGTTATTTGCATTTTAATAAATTTGTCACAGCAAGCTTGATGTACTAAGCATATTGCCTAGTCCCAAGTAAAACTAAAGCTGTGTAGGATAGTTCCTTTTAGAACTAGGTGCCTGTATGGATTTTTAGGGTTCCCAATCACAGAGCTGTTGTGCTTATTAGCTGGTTGCACAATCGCTCTAATCCTAGGTTTAACCAAAGAAAGCTAGGTCTGAAAGTTTCTTTATAAAGACAAGGACAATCTAATTGCAGTCAGAGGTGCATACCTGCCTGGAAGAGCTGCAGCCTGGTGTGGTGGAAAGGCTCCAGGGTCCTGACAAGCGACTAGGAAGCAAACTCTTCAGAGGTACTTATAGAGGAGCTGCAATGCTGAGACTGAATATCTCTACTGTAATCCTCTGAAGCTTAAAGGGAAGCTCTTGTTAGCGGATATAGCCTATTCCCCCCAGTAACTGGACGACACACAGTTCTGGGAGTCAACGGATTTTATTTTGGCCACACACGGCTTTTATGTAAAGAGGGGTCTGCTATACAAAAATACAGGGCTTTTCCTCCCAAGATCCTCTGTGCCTGAGAAAAAAAATATAACTCAATTATCTCAGGTACAGAAAAATCTACAATATTTTATACATTTTAATACTTCAGGACCCCCAAAAAGTCACATCACCAAATAGCTTGGATATGAGCGCACACTTTGCCAAAATATCACTCAGATCCCTTTGGTGGTTCGGGAACACCACTCGAATGAAGTTTTTACCGGTCTGCCACGAGATGATGCCCCAAAACAGTTCCAGAATAAACAAGACAATGACTGGTCATCTTTCGGTGGTTCTTGCACACACACTGACGAATGCTCCCCCTGTTTGGTAATTTTTGGCTCCCGTATGCCTTTCTCATAACTGTTCAAGAAGTTGGGTGAGCAGCGGTACCAGTTTACCGGGTGTTCGCAAGGTAGCATAGCCGAAAATAGTTCCACTCTGTCGACGACCAGGCACCACTGTGTTCGGGAGACAAAATGGCCGCCAATTGTTTAAACACGTGCGTTCAGCCACCCAGGGAAAGCACTCAAGTACTCCTTAATTGCGGTTAACAGCCAAGGTTGGTCGGTATTCTATTCAATAACAGAGGGGGGACTACACATGCTCTGTTCGGTTTCCGAACTGGGGGATACATGTTTGTTTGTACAAACTAAATCTGGGTTCGGGCAACCCCAGTGACTGATGCCAGGTCCGCCACAGTAATCGATCAGTACTCTGTCACAGTACCCAGTTTTATGGGGTTCAGGAAAGTTGCAGGTTTAAATCTAGGACTTTTCTGCTTTCAATTTTTACATATTGAAATTTTCCAGATTGGTTTACTGTGTCTGTTGCCTTTTTTATGTTTTGTTTTTTACACAAAAACAGCCTTTTCACCAATGAGATCATTGATCTAAAGTTTGTCTCAGCATTGCCTCACAAATAGAACAGCTCCCACCCCCCTCCATGTACAACTCTGGACTTTCTGTCTGGGTTGTCAGGCAGATCACCCAGTGTATAATTAATAAAATCACAATTATGTAAAGGCAATACATAGATATACACGTAAAATGAAATGTTATATAGAATTGGCATTTAGAGCGCAATAAAATGTTATAAAAGAGAGAAATTTAACAATAAGTGAGAATTATAAAATGTTACAGGAACAATAGGTTGATGAGGACCTTGCTCAAATGTGCTTACAGCCTAGAGGAGGTGGGGTATAAAAACACAATAGGAGGGGATGCGAGGGGGACAGCAACCAAACAAAAAAGTGGGAAAGTAGCAGAACTGGAGGTGAATGTTGTGTGTTGCCCTTTAAGAGAGATCTAGAGACAGGTTTGTGAAATAGACTTTGAGAAGCTATAAGGTTTTCTTAAGAGATGGGTTTTGAGGGTTGTCTTAAATGATTGAGGACTAGGGGAGAAACAAGATGCCCTGCAAGTGCAAGTTAGCAGTAAGGGTCCAAGCAGAGAACAAAAGAAGGTCACTGACAGAATAGAGAGACAGAGAATTAGGTAAGAAATATAACAGGAGCTAGAGTTGTTTAGAGCTTAATAGGTAAGGGTTAGTATTTTGAATCAACTCCTACAGCATAGGGGAAGCCAATGTGAGCACTGACAGAGGGGCGAGGTGTGAGGAAACAAAAAAAAAAGCCTGGCTGCAGCATTCAACTGTAACAAGTCAGTACGACTTCTAGGGAGACTAATTAGGAGAGAAATACAATAATCGAGGCAAGAAATTACTAGAGCACGAACAAGCTGCTTAGCAGCATCTTGCTTAATTAAAGGGGCATAGGCAATGTTTTTAAGGTTGAATTGGCAGGTGTTAGCAACAGACTAAATATGAGGCTCTCTCCAAGTTCACTGTGCCAAAAGGGGTATCAACTACAACTCGCTGACAAGGCCAAAATGATTGTCCGAAGTTGCTGTATCCCGTGCAGGGAGAACTTGCCGTCATTCTGGTTTTGGACTGCCCTTATGGGTGGGATTTTATGCCTGGATCTGATTCTTCTCTTTAATGGCATAAGCGAGCAAAAACTATTTTGAGATCTGAGCGGGTAATTACTGAAGGGCAAGCTACTGAGTTCCTCTACGCTTTTGTCCATTCTCATATTCTCTGTTTTTTAATTATTAAGTTTGCCATGAGAATCAGTATGAAGAGAAAACAAAGGGGACCAATAACAGAGCCTTAGGGGACTCTTACCGAGACAGGATGAAGGGAGAAGGTGTCATTAGTAAAGAAAACACTGAATAAACATTGGGAGAGATAGGAGGAGAATGACAAGAGGACGGTGTCAAAGAGAATTTGGGATTGAAGAGTTTCAAGGAGGATATGATCAATAGTGTAAAATGCATCAGAGAGGTCTAGTAGAATTAGTATAGAGTAGTGGCCTTTGGATTTAGCCACGATTAGATTATTTGTAACTTTTATCAAAGGTAAAGGGGAGGGGGCGAAAGCCAGGTTGAACAGAGTTCGAATTGAGGAAGCAAGCCAAACGTGTAAGAAATCTTTCTAGAAACTTTGAGAAAAAGGAAGCAGGGATATTATTAATATTTATATTGTGCCAACAAATTCCGCGGCACTGTACAATGGGTAGACCAATAAATAGGTAATTGTAACGAGATGGAAACAGAGGAAGAAAGCGCTTAACCCCTTAAGGACACATGACATGTGTGACATGTCATGATTCCCTTTTATTCCAGAAGTTTGGCCCTTAAGGGGTTAAGGGCCCTAACTCAGGTTTACATGCTAGAGGGAGTGGTGTAAAATGAAACAAAAGGTAGGGATAAAAAAAAAAGAACAAAAAAAGAGTAGGTTGGTTAACCCCTTAAGACCGGAGGGCGTACTATTACACCCTATTCTAAGCGGCTCCAAACGCCACTGGGCGTAATAGTACGCCCTCCGGTCTTTCGGTACTTACCCCCAGGGAGCCCCCCCGCGGCACGTCCGCCCTCCTCGAAGCCCCCGGGCCAT